TTATTTTGATCCGAACCACGTTAAATCTTGTGTTCTTTCTTTTACGTTTCCGCTAACAGTTCTGATAATGCTTGGATTTGTCTCAAAAAGGACTTGTCAATATATTATCTTTTGTAGATAAGGTGTGCCACAAATATCTCCTCTTCTGACAGCCCATGTTAATAGAAAAACAAACCAAATGGGAATCCATTAACCATTATCGAGAATATGACCATAAGTATGCAATGATGGATCCATATTCTCTAACTTTCACCCCAAACCAAATCTTACAAAAGAGAGTTCATAAGATCATATGTTATTCCTATGTCCAAGCCTGCACAATCCCTAATGCTCTTCGGTCTAGAACCCACGACCTTATATGCAACAACTCCCATCTAGGATTTGTCTTCCACCCTGGCAACAACTTAGTGATGTTGCAAGTACCCATGCAATGATCTTGTAAACATTGCTACTACGATAATAGGTCAATAATCCTTTTCATCCATTGCAAAATCCAAAGTGGAGTCTGGCTACAAGTTGTGTCCTCTTTTTCTGAGATAGAGTGAGTACCTCATTTATATAGACACTTCTATTTTAATGCCCCTTCATGCATAGGTCTGGTTCTTTTTCTTGGCAAAGAATGTGAAACATTTTGTTGATCAACCATTCAAAATTTCACAAACTAAAACCATACTTACACATCTGGAAGATGCTCTCTCTGACAGCTTAACATTTAGATGAGCTGGCTACGAAATTCAACATGATATTAGAGCGTGCAGAGGTCCTAACAAGTATTACTAGCACCCGCTATAAAAGAAAGTGAGACATGATTGACCCATAAAAAGGTATCAGATCCACACCTGAAGGCGTGGGAAAGACCCAAAAATAAATAAATTCAAATGTATCATGTCTAACATATTAAAATTTCAGATGACGTGGGTTATACAACAAAACAATGACTGAGGAGTTAAGGCTTCTTTCAAGATGCAACACCTCTAAGAATAAGAAAAAATCAACTTACACCGCTTCCCAAAAAACAGTGGAGAAGGCTAGAGTGAAACCATTACTACCGCGCCTTGTCCCTAGCATAACTCCACACCGCTTCCTGCACCTTCTTTCTCAAAAATCCGCCCTAAGAGCTTAATTCTTCATCGAAATTGATTTCCTTAAAGGTAATGCATTCATTACTTGGTCTCCCCTCCTCGTTTTCTCCATAGCTGGACGGGTAGTAATATGTGATGCCTTCTTTGATTCACTCTCCCCTTCCAACATGTTTTAATCTATCTAGAATTTTAAATAAAGTTGTTTATCCTTTGTGCATTTGGCGGCGTAAGAACCTAGTATTCTTTACACCACTTCTGCTCCAAGCTTATCTCTAGAGCTATCAGCATCCATCCTACTTTGCGCTTTAACCTAGTTTAATCCAACGATCTTAATTCTTGCATCAGACTTAAATGTATGTGTTTCACCTTACCAAACAATTCCACATTCCACTGTTTGGATATAATGTGAAGCCCCTGTTTGCCCCCCTTATCGTCGGCACTGATCGGTTACATNGGGGGGGGGGGGGAGGGGGCGGGGTAAGGACTCTTTCCTGTTTTCACAATTTTGGAAAACTTCCAGCTATCAAGGAAATGAAAAGCTATGTGATATCAACATCAACAACAACAAACCCAGTGTAATCCCATAAGGAAAAGCTATGTGACATAAAAGGAGAAAAAGGCCGCACCTCCTCAATAGACTAAAACGAAAGAATTTCTCAGAGCAACCCCCAAGTTCCAATCACAGAGTCTAACGAGTTTAGCTTTGCAGCTAATCTAGACTAGGGCACCCCTGGAATGTAAATCTCTCCAACTATAATTTCACCAATTCCTTAAACCTTCCGGTTACAACCACATATTTTTGGTTCAAAAAAGGAGATTCTCCAACTTATTCTACCAGTATCTAAAAGCATAGGGCAATGATCTGAAACAAGTCCAGCAGATTTCTCCTTTTACTTGCCCCGTCTTTTTTCTTTTTGTTGGATGCATACCCTTTTCCCTTGTCCGTTGGACCATCTTCTGGTTTAACACCATACGTTACATTAAGCACCAGTGTGTCAAACTAGAATCTTTTACTGAGTTCCAGTCAAGCCAGCACTATACCTTCATGAGAGCAACTGGTGCAGATACCGGTGGTTTCAGATATAGCAAATGGTTGGAAATGCATCCACGGGTAGCTTCCAATTGAGTATTTATTTTCAAACCCAATATTTCCATGATTGAAATCCCTTACTCGGCTCAATGTTCTTAAGAATTTAGCACTTCTCCAAAGGATAGATAAAAGGCAGCAACAGTTTTGGAGAACTGTCCCTCTATGCGCCATTGCATCTTTTGGTTGATACGGTTGGAAAGTAACAAGTCATGCTTTGAAGGACAGGGAAGTGATGTCTGTGGAATTAAGAACAAAAGGATCTTCACAATTTATACTTTTGGTGTAAGAGTAGCAGACTGGAAAATGTAGAAGAATACTAGGATTTTGTAGAGATGCTTTGGGGGGATACTGTAATAGGCTGCGTTCGAGCCTTCTGTCATGTACCTTTGTGTACCATCTTGGTACTTTATTCATTGAAACCTTTACCTTTTATAAAAAAATAAGAAGAATTTAGCAGCTTTCCATTTGCTGAACAGACTGATTTCAACTACGGATCAACCCTTTAACCATTTCAAGAAACACTGAAGGTAAAAAGTGTTAGAATAAATATAACTACAGCCAAAATCACATACACCAGTTATTACAATCAACCCTTGAAATCAACGATGTCAACCATGCGGGAAATTGGAGACAGAAAAATGGATATAGATTCTTTTTTAGGCACAAAACGCAAACATTCAAATAGGTATATTGTGTGTGGTACTTCACGTTCATTTTCATTTTCCTTTCTTAGTTTATTTAGCAGGGGTCAAAATGAGTAGACCAAGGTGAGCCTACCTGAAGTTTTGTTAATATGTGTGCAATTGTATCATCTCTTGCTAAACCAAGAAGTACTCGGCAAGCAAGAGCACGAAGACAGTCAATTGCAGCTGGAGGAGTAACAATCCGGGGCTGGAGGAGCTGCAGGAGGACCTTAATACCATTGTTGGCCCGAACAGCTTCTCTGGCTTGGCGGTATCCTTGTTCCAGCTGAGCAGCAAGGCCAGCACAACCAGCTCCAACACCTAATGAAATTCTCCGTTCTCCAACTAATCCTGAAGCCACTGTAGACACAGGCGCTTGAGAAGTACCACTGACCGCGGATGTGCCAGGAACTGCTGCGCTTCCACGGTCAGGTATAGTAGATTCTGCATTCCTTTCTCTATTTTCATTCTGGCTGGAGACATTAACAGCTCTATCTGGAATAAGCCGCTCAGCATTTCTGTCCCTGGTCTCACTCCTTTCTGGATTCCGTTCTCTGGTCTCCCCACCAGGAACATTTGCAGATTGGTTAGCAATGGTTTGCTGTGCTTGAGTAGATACAGATGGTTTGTTGCTGATTGAAGGTGGGGGACACACGAGACAGACCAACACATTCAATGCTGCTTCAACAATCTACCAATATCAAAATAAATGGATAAGCATCTGAATTGCATAATGAGAGAATGAGAAGAGTTCATTGAGACTATACCTCAGGTTCTACATAACCAACACTGTTTGCTGCATCCAATATAACAGCTATACCCACACGATCATTGCTTAATGTTGCATTTACAATAAGTTTACGGCTGTAAGGTACTAAAGTGACAATATGAAGTACACCGAGAGCATACTGAAGCAAGTCATGCAAATAACGCTCAACAGGTGGAGCCTACATTTGAAAATATAGTAAGTAAAGCAGAAAGCATATGCAAGTAGAAAGAATGAACGGTTTTATAGAAGCATGTACTACCTACCTGACATAATTCCAACATCGTAATGTGCCCATTGGAACTTAAAAACTTGTCGACTACAGGCCAGCGGGCCCTGACAAATGCAGGACCAAGTTTTCGATCTTTCTGTATTAAACGGTGAACTGCATCCATAGCCTCATTACTAATGTCAAGGGGCTTATACGCAGCCCTAACACTTGGGATATTTCGGGCAGCACTGCGAACACTTTTATTAGGACGAATTGAATCCGCCAGCAAGAGAAGATGTGCTCTGAAGTACTGGCGAAGAGCGACACAGGTGTGATATGCTATCTGCTTCTCAGATGCTGTCAGCACCTCTGGTGGTGATCTATCACTTCGTAATGACCCTGAAGCAGTTAATGCCCCAGAAGAAACTCCAGATCTCACTGCTGCAGCATCATGCAAAAGATTAAGCATTTTCTGTAATCCATCCTGAGCATCAAAAGCATCTAGAACAGCTCTGAAAACAAATGCAGCTGCAAAAAATAAAGCAGCATTTTTTCTGGCTTGATCTTGAGGACATTCAAGAAGCTGAAGTGCCACCTCAACCACCTGATGAATAATGTTTGAAGGAAGGGCACAAACACGTTCCATTATTCCCTGTGAAATCATTTATCAGAAGTTAAGGACTTCATTCAGTCAGCAACTAAAATTTCTAGAGCCATAATGAATCAAGATTTATTTTAATAGGTCATTGTGAATCAAGATTCAGGGTATACCTAACCAAAATATAACATTAAAAGGAGTAAAGAAATGATGAGAGACAGTTACCTGAATTGACCCTATAGCGAATAAGCATGAAGAAAGACCACAGAAAGTCTGAGGAGCTCTTGGGACAGCAAGCAATTTTTGCATGCCACCACGATCCACAAATACTGCAGCAAATTTCCGATGTGTGGCCAAAGCACATATTAGCTTCAGAACATCAGGCAAAAGAAGCGAAATCTTGCCCCCCTCTTTATGTTTGGAATTGCGCTGCAACAGCGCAATACACACGTCGACTCCTTTTTCGTGCAACACAGGTCCAAGTACTTCAACATACTCTCCCAAAATAACAAGACACTGGATGCAGAACTTCTCTCTCAACTTTGCAAGAGAGTCGCTATCCAGTATGAAGAATTCATCGACATCCTCATTTGCTTCTTGTGCTGTTGCTTTAATATCTTGTGATTCACCTTCAGAAATAGCACTCCTACAATGTCTCAGCACCACATTACTATAGGTTAACTGTAAATCACGGAAAGTAGCAGATGAAGGCAAAATAAAATGTCTTTCCCAGTCATCAATTGGGGATGGCTCATACACAAAAATAACACACCAACCTTGAAGCTTCAACTGCAATACCAGCATCAATGACTGTGGATGCAGCTTTTGAAGCAGCCAAAACTGCAGCCTCGTCATCATTTGTCTTCTTAAACTCCTGAGATATGTAGGGATGGTGTTAAGATAAAATCAACAAAGACTCCGTAAAATACTACACAGGATAAGAACTGAAGACAAACCTCATAAGCAGCATTCTTGACTACTTCTGCAGCAGCATCACCAGCTGCTTTAATGGCTTCGATTGGAGCATTAGCTGCTTTTGCTTCTGTTTCAGCAGCTCTAACAGCTTTTTTCACCAGGTCAGTGATATCCTTGGAGCCGACTTTACATTCTAGGAAACATTCATCATTTTCATCCCTCTCCATCACAAAACCATCAACATTAGTCCTACTCGGATTCTTCTTGCTATCTGGTGCTCTTATTGATTCTTGATTTCGGATTAAATTTCTGCTCCGAGATTGCCCACCCAATCTATTTGTGGACCCAGGAGATGTCAAAGCTGCTTCATTCTCTGGAAGACCCTCAGTAACCCTTCCTCGTCCTCTGTGTCTTGTCCACCCACGATTCACCCTGCGTCTTGATAAGTCATCTCTAGCATTCTCATCATGATCTTCTTCCCTTAGGGATCTGTTACCAGACTTTGCCTTTCCCTCACGTAAATCTCTGATATGCCATCTTTCTTCACCATCTACATCTGCCTGATAATTATCCTCATCAACAGCCATAGAATCAGGTGGCTCTTCATCAGTCCAACGTTCATCCCCACGCATATGCTTACTGGCACTTCTATCGCGGTCCTTATCCATAACTTGATCACCATGAAATCCATCTTCCGCTACTCTGGTACTATCCAAGTGAGAACTTTCTGCAACTTGCCGCAATCTAGTTCTACATTCCTCTCTAGCTCTTACACCAGTACCTGTTGATGATGCTTTGCCATCCACCAATGCCGTTGCATCCCTTTGGCTTGTGGTGGTCTCCCCTAAAATTCTAATCCGAAGATAGCGCATAACTTTTGCTGGGAGCCCAGATGTTAACACATCTTCAACTACTTGACCACCACTACCATCAATGGAGCAAATAATGAACATGACTGAAACAGGAGATGTGTCATAAAACCAATAAAGATATGGGCGTAAGAGCATACCTCGCCAAGCATACAGCAAGAAGTCCAGTAGAGTAGGTCTTCAGCATCTCAGAATCAGACGACCTCCGATCACCTGACTCATGCTTCCAATAATGATCATCACCGGACAATCTGGTTGTGTCATCCATTGTCCAGCTTTTTAGATTTTCCAGCACAGTGTCTTCAAAAACATGTGGATACTGGATTCCATTTGCTATGTATTAATCTACATGCATAACAATGACAAAAACAATCCTTTAAATAAAATAATCAAGAAAAGAACTTTACCATCCAAGTTAGTGAACAGCTAAAAAGCAGCCTTGTAGCAGCAGCCTGCACAGAAACTGAATATCTCCTCTCAGATAGGAATTTTGAAGATATCAGTTCAAAGAATTCATCATTGTCCTGCAGGACGATGGGAAGTGAGTAGTTAATATTGTGACACACTGGTATACGAGGTGCAGATACAAATGACAAAGAAGAAAAGGAAGAGCTACTATAGCTTACCCGGATAAGGTTTCCTAGTCGTCCAACGCTATGGGAAGACCGACTGTTATTAGAGGCAGAATGACCACTCTCTTCCATGTATCTGCTTTTGAAAAAGTGAAAAAATCTGTCATTGTCTTGTTCCAGCCGGTGAGACAAAGCATTGATGTGTTTACCTCTGACAAGAGGCGGATGTATTGAATAATGCAAGCAGGAAACAAGACCTAGCCCCACTATGTTAAAGTTGATTAAGGTCAACTATCATGTTTTTTCAATATATTTCCAAAAGTAGGGAATAATAGTAGGAAGGTACTGACTTAAAATTAAATAAATTTGATAATAAAAAATGAAGAGAAAAGAGGCAAAGGTAGAAAATTATTCATAATATCATGTAGCACTTGCTACAGGATAGAGCCATGGTTAACTTTGTTAGTTCTCTACAAAATCTGTGACAATTAATTTTTCTGTATACAGATGTTTCATACCAGCATCCTCTTGATGCTGATATATAAAACTTCATCTTGCTTATAAAAGAAAATGCCATGTAGAATTATCAAATTGCTAGTGATAACTTCCGGATACCCATCTTAAAACTGTGATGAAATAAAATAGCACTCTACCTTTCAACTTGCTGGTCCAAACACATCATGCAATGTAACAAGGATTTACAGCAGTTTCTAACAAGCATAATTCGCATTCTCTTTTTTTTAATGAAAAGGTAGAGACCATCCGCACAATTTCAAACATAGAAACAATTAAGAAACATGAATATTATGCGGCACTAATATAAAACCACAACAAAGACAAGATCCACATACTCCAATATACTGCATTCTTCATCATAAAAAAGGACACCGGGCGCAACTATACTAAAAATGCAATTGAACTAGTTCCACCTCCCCCATTCCCTTCATTACTGATGGGTACCAGTGCTCAGGTCCTTTACTGAAGCAAGCATAAAACCTTTACGCACAAAGGAAGTAATTAAAAGAAGTCAACTTAAAGATCAAAAAGTATCAGTCAAACTGACCACTGCAGCAAGAAACTAAAAGCAATGCCAATTGTCACAAAGAACCCAAAGCTTAGGAAAATACAGTTAGACCTCCAGTATCCTGCAAGCGCTACGTATACACGATACTAGTCATGATGATCGTTTTGATTCAAAATTCATAACTTCATCATATGCACCTTTAAGTAATATTTATTAATACATGTAAATGTTAGAGTTCAAAGCGTACAAGTAGATATGAAAGGTTAAATTAACAAAAGGAAAGATGATCAATGATGCAAGAAGTGCTTTTCACAGAACGTATGTCAGTTTAATAAAATAGTAAAAATAGATGTAGAAACCCATTAAGGTACCCATGTTTGTACATAATCAGCTTTATCCGCAAAACTTTTCGTTGCTGAATCAACAGCCACTTAAAGAGTACGATTTATTATCTAACTTCAGTTTTCACTCCAAAACCACCCACATTGGACATAGTCATAATTGAATTTTTGAAATTCACATAAGAAGGGTCTTCTTAGTTTGTCAACTTTATACACTATCTATACTGATTAGATGTAATAATAAGTAGTATGTGTATGCTATTCGGTCCACTATCTTGAGGGCGTCTCATATACAAATATATTCTCATATAGCCAATCTACGTTCAAATTCTCAACTATATTCGACCAAAGACTTGTTTTTCTTTGTTTTTCCCCTAAAATCAGCTACAAATATGTGCTATGGAAGTTCTCAAACATGCGAAAATATCATTCAAAGCGGAAACATAATTTATAAACAAAAATGACTGGAAAAATTGTTAAATATAGAACATAAATTCTTATTATTCATCCCTCAGAATCCCAAGCTTCTACACTAAAATATACATTTTAATTTTAATCAACATAATTGGAGAAGTAATCTTTAAAAAACATTTCGTATTCTTCTTCCATTTCATAAGAAATCTTTCCCCATCAATCAAAAAAGTTTCGTAATACACATTCATCGAAGGAAACCTTAATAATTACACCATAAGAAACTAACACCCACATAAAATTCCGAAGATAATTAAGTTCTTCGTACTTTTAGAAAAGTAATTTCAATCACATTAGCCAAACCCCAAAGATTAAACACTGAAATTTATATTTAAACACGACCATAATTGGACAAACAATTGTCGAGAAATAACAATCTTTATTTTTCATTTAATAACAATTTCACTACACTTACATGTCCTTTTCCCCATCTTTCCTTTTTTCCATCCAATTCAAAAAACGACATGACAAGAGAAAATAACACATCTAACAGAATCTTAACAATGAACTACAATCCGTCGAAAAATAAAGTTTCCATAACATCCTTCAAAATTCAAGTTTCAAAACAAATAATAGATTTTTAATTGTACTTCCAACCGATAAATTATCTTTACAATGGCTGGTACTGGCCTCCCCGTGATCCGCCAACACACTGATAGTAGAAGCGCCAAATATATTAACAGACAAAATCCAAGAGTGAAAAGAAAGTGTCATAGGGGTTTTTGATTTTTCACGAGAATAAAACTAAAAGGTGGCATCTCTTTGTGGTATTCTTCAAAAGAGGCGTATGGAGTGTTGGCTTACTTTGTAGGCATTAATTTTTTTATTAATAAAAAAGGGTAATTAATAAAAAGGGAATTAAGTCAAGGGTATTCTTGTAACTTGACTTTTAAATTATGGGCTTCATGCTTTTGCTATATATAGAGAGAGAGAGAGAGACACACTCACACAAATTAGGTGAATTAGAAATGTTCTCAAGAAAACAGATTTGGTCTTCTCCTTTAGATATGGAGGGGCAGATTGAGATAGGCAGAAGATTACAATTGACCCAATTCCAAATAGCAAAATGGTTTCACGAAGATGAGTAAGTTCAGTATTTCACGCCAATATAGAAGACATGTTGCACTAAGAACCCAATAACAAACCAAATCATTTCGCAACCAGCACTGAAAACATTAAAACTAAATAAAATCATATCGGACCAGTGTGCCCCAATAATCATAACTAGAAACAAGATAATTAGCAAAGGCACGACATCACAACTCCCAATAATCCACTATATTGTTATTTTTCTGTTATAAGGCTTCTTACTGTTTTTTAAAAGGCTTGTTTACTACATTTAGATTATCTTTTATTTTTTATGATCATGCTGTCTAGGCATTAACCAGGCAAAATTCAGAAGAAAGAAAAAAATAAAAAACAAAGACCAGCATAGGTGCATGTAACAGAACTTAACTACCCTGTTATTATATATAGGAGGTATTAAAATGACATTCATGTGTCTCATTGCTTATCTGCTTGCTAAATGCTAAACCATCTGTACCATTTTGAACGATTAAAATTCAACATCAATAACCACACGGCCAACACGCACACACATACTGCCGAGTAGAATTTTTTTCTGTGCATCAATATAATCCGTAAAACCCAAAAAATCGAACTTCAATTCAAATATAACACAAAATTCACTTTACTAAAGCTCCACAATTCTGAATACCCAAAGAAATCAACAAATGAAACTGTACCTGGATTCTTGAGTTTCAAAAAGAGAAGAAAGGGCATGGATAGTATTAGGGTTAGGGTTATCAGGCGCAGCAGTGATTTTCTCCATAAAAGCTTGTGCTTTCATGATCAACTCATCATTCTCCGCCTCTTCTTCATCTTCCTCTCCTCCTCCACCCGTTTCTTCTTCTTCCTCCTGATCCTCCGCTGGCGTCGTCTCCGGACGCCGCTCCTCCTCCCCCTCCGCCGCCGCCAATGATTGTTGTTGGGGCCGCCCCTCCTCCATATTAAAATAAAATCAACAAAAAGTTCAAAAAACTAGGTTTTTCAAATAGTGTGTGAGAAAGCGTTTGCTTTAGGTTTGAAGTGTTTCTGTAAATGTAAGTATGTTTTCCAGTGTAGAAGAAGAGAGTACAAAAAGAGCCCTCGCCACCATGCTTCTTCTCTGTTATATGAACACGGGGGAAGGAAAGTCTCAAGAATCATTCGAGCCGAATTCTTCTTGACCCGACCCTTAATAAAGAGCCCAACTGCGTAAGCCCGATGCTTTTAATGGGGAAACTGCAAAAATAGCCGTTTTTAGGACCCTTATTTAAAAAGAAGTTAAATGTATAATCGCCCTCCAAAATAATAGCGGATAACTTTTTGTATATTAATAAATAAATAATATATATATATATATATATATATATATATATTGTATGCATGCAAGGGTTGTTTGAATTGGTTGGGTGAGTGATTTCCTACGTAGGATATGTGGGATCATTTCCCCTCATCAGTAGCCTCCTTAGTCAAAGCTCGTTGCACCGGACTTATCTAGTGCGGTTTTATATCTCCTATGTGGTTTGCAAGTTATTGCACAGTGAGTAGATTATCCAGTGCGCATCTGAAGGGTAGTGGTTGTGGATTTCCAAAGAATTTTTCAAAAATATATATATAACATACATATTTTATACATAATAAGTGCGTATATTTTTATATATTTAGCGATTATAATTATTTTTGGCTGAGCGATCAAATGTGTGAAAATCCTTTAGAAAATATCCAAAATTTATAGAAAAATTTTAAAGTTTGGCTGCCTCACAATCAACTTAGACCCCGACGGATTGGATTGAAATCGCGGTTCTAAAGTCTCAAAATGCATACCTTGAAACTCATCCAAAGCTTAATTTTAGACCTAAGTTTGAAGTTTCATTGCATTTTAAATTTAGATGTGAAAACTTTGTAAAACTAACTTCAGACTCAACGATCGAAAGAAGAATAAGAAGAAGCATTAGCATGCATGAGCAATCCAAATTTACCAAAACTGATTAAATTTTGAATAATTTTTAATAAGTTGATATATTTTAAATACGAGTTGTGTCAGCACGTGATTTTTGCCTCACATGAATTACTCCAAAAAAATTCTCAAAATTAGGCCTTTTCTTTAATTATGTGTTATTCTAGGAATTACTGTGCAATTTTCTTGATTGTTTGCATATTTAATTTTAATAATGCATTAAAAAATATCAAAAATATAGCATTTGCACTTAGGATTTGATTTTACATTTTTGGTTAATTTAGTAAAATGTTATTTTTACAAAAATGAAAAATTCACAAAAAATAACGTACTTTACATTTTTAAGTATTTAATGTCAATTGTGTGACTCTCTTTTAATTTAATTATTTGAGTTAGTTAGTTTTTAGGATAATTTGGTCAAGGTTTCTTTTTATTAGAAGGAAAATTGAAAAGAAAAATAAAAATAAGAAAGGAAAACAAGAAATTAGGAATGTGAGACCATTTTTAATTAAATCCATAAGCCCAATTCCATTTTCCCGGTTAAATCCAATTAACCCAGCCCAACACAAACCCCATACCGGGTCCAAACGTCCACTCTCTGAGACCATCGAAATGACGTAGTATAGGGACAGAACTACGTCGTTTCGATCTCAACGGATCTCAACCGTCCGTTCATCTATATCGAACGATCCAAAGCTTTCTTCACAACCCGACCCATTCCTACCCGGACCGCCCCAGTTGAAACCAAAACGACCCCGTTTCCATTAATGATCTAATCAGAGCCGTTGGATTC